GGGGGGTGCAATGATGCGCACTGCTGCTCCCCACCACCGTATTTGCTTCAAATTTTATTTTCTGAGGTTTTCTAATAAGATAGTCTGACCAGAAGTCAAAATAATTTCTTGAACTGAGTTCATCGCTCAGGCGCTAGAGGTTTATCGGTTATTGTTTTCGTCGTAGCAACCGAATAATTTCACCGCTGCCTGACCTGTTAACTAGTTGGCCAAGCAATGCGTAACTCGAATGTGGTGGGGACAGAGGTGTTTCCCTAATAGAGTGAAGGGGAATGATTGACTGTTTGAGTTACCTGTAGTTGTATGTCTCTGTTCTCGGATTTTGACAAGTCAGTAGAAATGAAAGCGATAAGAGCCAGTGTTTGCAAGTGTATGGCATTCACAATTAGTGGGGTACAAAAAATGTAACTTGTATGATTTAGCCTTGAAAAGTCAGAATGTTCCCTTCCAACTACCGTCGTCTCTGCTCTCAGACCACACCAGTTGGTTTAGTTTTGAAGGCCCTTTAAGGAAAATGTTATTCGTTTTGCCTGTTATAATAGAGTTCCTTCCTTAAGCATTATAAGAAGCGATAAAGGTTTCATTTGTCGTGGGACAAGGTTAAAGCCTTCTAACTCTTCCATGAAGCCTCTAGTTACTTCAGTACCCAATCATTCCACGTCCGAATAGGTTAATTTACTTTCTCCTTGATTTAATTGTACTATTCTTATTTTTCATTCGTGCTTCTTCACTCGTGTCTAAATATCGATTAGGCTTCTCGTCAATTAACTCATTTGAAGTTTATTATTGCATTACTTTTACGATTGATTTTCAGAAGTCTTTTCTTAATATAAATGTGGACGTAATGATAAATGTCATAAAGCCTGCCATTGGAAATAATAATATTAATTCGTAATATAATTCGTGGGAATTAAGCATTTTTTGTGCTTTACATTTAATTTATGCGTTTGCTCGTTTTAAATAAGAAAGAAAGTCACCAGCAAATGCTGGGTTGCGTGACATTTAAATGTACGTTCCCACGCTAAAGTTTCAAGCGTTTATCAAATGTGATTTGTTTTCCACAAACCTTTGCTTAATCATGAAATCGATCTGAAGTAGTGATTGATGCTTTCGACCCTATTAAGCAGAATTTTGGTAATACTTGACATGGGAGGAAAGAGTGTGTTCTAGGTTGATCTTACGGTCCGTCGGTAAGACTTAACCCAATGTGGGTGGCTATGCTCATCGCTACGTGACCTCTGACTGGGATTCTCAGCTCATTTACTTCACGCTTAACCTAGTAAAATATCATAACTTTCCATAATTGGAAAGCTTCTAATCATAATGATTAGTAGAGCAGTCGATCTGACTTCAAGTTTCATCAGATTTTTTGCTTGTTCCTTAAGCTTCCCGAAATTCAACATTCTGGATGTTTCCCCTAGATTTCTAATTGAATTTTTGTATGCCCTATACTCAAAGCTAATAGTCCAGTTAAGTGGGCTAACTTTTATGCCTACCATTTGAAAACGCGCGCCTTTTTTAAAATTGAGCTATTTAGGTAATTCGTCTGAGTGGCTAATCGACCAATGCAAAGTAGCGTTTGACAATGTAGTAAACAGAATCACGCTATTCTTATAGTCAAAAATAAATATCTTGTCATAACAGTTGCCTTCTATATATATTTTTTCCTAAGGTTCTGTTATTTCGATTTGATGCAAAAGTGATCTATCATTTATTTTTAACAAATGGCAGGCCCTTTAATTGATTTCGGGCTTCATAGAGGGGAGGAGGAACATCAAAGTCACAAAAAGTTGAGAGGGGAACGAGAAGAGTGATTCATAGATGCAAAGGAGGCAGACAGACACAAACGCATAGGTAAGATGGGCATTGTGGAAGTGATCAGATATGACATACTGTGGGATCATGGAAGTTTGAAGTGAGAAGTCAATTGACGGTTTATAGACTTTTATGCCATATGAGTATAGGTTGCCCAGGATGCACCACGTGGAGGTAAGTCTATCTCGCACGCCGTGATCTGTCATAATTCTGGACATGGTTTTTGGATCTCAATTAAGCACGTATTGGAGGAGAAGGTGAATGGGGTTTGAAGATTTTCGTGCATTTCTACTACTCAAACCTTGAGATGTCTGTTCAAACCTCCTTGTTGCAAAATATCTGAATGTTCACTTTGGTTTCAACTTAATTCTAAGTGTCGTTGCGCTGAAATTTCGCCTTGCCACTTGTGTGATCGTGTTATTTCGTCAAACATAAATAGAAGAAGTCGTACGGTCGAAATTCGCGCATTCTTATAGAATGTTTATCATTAATGCTATTACACAGTTAGTCTTCGTAGGTTCTGATTCGTACGCTGTTTGAGTATTTGGTCACGTGACAAGCTCCATTTGAAGCACAATAACTTGAGAGTATGGTTGACTTCCGCCTGTGTTGCATTTGTTTAGACAGTTGTACTTGACGGAATCTAGCCTTGCTTCATTATTGCCTCGATTGCCTAACTCCATCCTCAAGTCATTTATTCGTCGTTGTTGTCGTCATTGGTTATTCGTCACTTCTGCGTGAATGAATCTTGTTTCTACCCAAAGAAGCTTTCTCTCCCTCTCTCTCCCCCCCCCCCTTCAAATCATCCCAAATTGCTCACACCTACTTCCATGCTTTTGATGTGATTTTTTTATATTTGAACTTATTATAAGGTTTTTTTTAGGTAAAAACCTGACTGAAATTTCAGATATTTATTATTTTTTTCACACACAATAAGAAGTTGAATGTGCACAAACTTTCCTACGTATACATCACTGGCAGGATATTTTTTGAATTATAAACTGCTGTGCGCTGTATTTTCGGAAAGCATGCCTTAGCGGGGAGGGGACTTTCATTTGACTAGTGCCCATGCGTAAGGGAATGAGCATTATGGTCGCACTGCCATAGCAACGAACAGACTTCCCAATTCCCATAGAAAAGTGTTACAAATACACCTTCATGGAAAAGAGGGGCGNGGAACACGTGTTATTATGGTTAGCCTCTTAGCCACTCTTATGCTGACTGCTTTCATTCGTCGGGGGTTATCCGCTCATTTCACTAGTGACCTTTGGTAGGAGAGTATATATATATATATATATATATATATATATATATATATATATATATATATAAATGACCCCGTATCAATGGGCATTATAATATCTGAATATGCGTCGAGAAATTTCGAACAGAAAATTTTTGATATTTAGTGTCGTCTAGTGGTCTTGTGGTCAACTCAGATCTGTCTGTCCATTCAGAATTGGCGATTTGAGAAGGCTTGATTTACAAAAACTGGCCTTACTGAGGAATTAAGGCCTAATTCTAGTTGAAAACAAGGCAATCAATATGAAGCTACCCTGTGTTGTGATGATGATAGGAAGTAACCTCAATAATATTTGTTATTCTTCTTATGATAAGGTGGACTCAAATTGCGCATGCGTCATCGTAGTGGTGGAGCCTCGGATGCGGGCGTATTCAGTGGATGCGCATTTGACCTTCAGGAATCCACCCCACCTCCACCCTCTGGAGGAGCCATTGCTGCTGGTGGTTCAATGCAGTCAAGTACTCCAGTGCTTCCCCATTTCCCCCTCTTCTCACCTCTCACTGGTAGTAGTTTTCCACGTGGGAATGGATTCGCCTCTACAGTGAATACACCTAAAACCCCTACCACGACCACGGGAGGATCTTCTGTCGCCACTGTTGTACCCTCGAATCAACAAGGAACCGCCGCCGCTGCCGTTGCTGCTAGAAGCAAGATTTCTGCTGACGCCACAAAATTTCCGCGAATGAGATGTGAGCTTTTTGTGTGCAAAGCATAAGAGGCAACTATAACCGCCTCAGTAAAACATGCTTGAATATCACCTTTTAAATCTAAGATAGGTTTCTAAATAAGTCATTAAGCCAATGCTTTACTGACTGGGGTTCGAGTCAGTCATTCATCTTAGAAAAGTTATCGGGGACATTCTCGAGTATAGTGATCGATAAATCAGTCGTTAGTGTGCTCTTCCATCAAAATAGTGATCACGACTACAAAGCATATCTCTGCGCACTGTGTGGGGAATGCGTAATTCGGGATAATAAATATTTTTTATCAGAATTTGAGGTTTTTATCAGCAGATTTCACATTATTTTTCCTCTTCTCAATATGATTGTTGGAGAATGCTTTGATGAATGACCCTGAAAATAGACTAGTCAAATGTAAATGTGTCAATTTTTTGCCTTATATTTCTTAATTATCAAATTTTTCATATTCTAAGACAATTCTTTGCTTATAGATTGCCCTTTTTACTTCTTTTGTTAATGAATGGTTTCTATTCTTTTCGTGTCTCCTTGTTGATTTAAACAAGAATTCGCGATCTTAGGGCAAACCAATCAACTAACACCGCCAAGGTCATTTCCATCTATTTTAAAATTCTGTCCTTTATTTGACGCCTCTTTTATAATGGCGAATTTATTCGCTATCGTTTATTGTTTTAATCCCACTGATAAATTAAATAGATGTGTGAACGAAGTGAACTGTCAGAAGTAACCAAAAAATACCAGTCATGTGAGCTGAGAGTTGTAGAGTGCTGACAAATTGTCAAAGACTTGTTCCACAATTTTGTTGAAGAAGTTAATAGACTTAATTTGCCATTCTTAGTGGATGAAGTTATTAGATAGAAAGTATGTGATGATGGAGACGATTGATTACTATCTTGGTCTAGGTATAAACTGGAAATTAAGGTGGCCGCTTGGGAATGTTCTTGAATTCCTCTAGAACCGACCACCACTTTTTCCCCATTTCAAGGGAGGCTCCTCAACACCTCCTTCATTCCCACTTGAGTTGAAGAAGGAAGGTCTGATAGGTTCAGTTAAAATGAGGGAGATTATGGCACAGGTCGCTAATTTATCGTGGGGTATGTTGAATTCACCAAAAAATGAAATCAAAAACCAATTGGTTCTAGCTGCATATATGTAAATACCCTATAGGGGGTTGGAAATAAGGATGTATAGATGTAAAACTTAAAAATTTAAGGAATTTAAAAAGAACTAAATGGGGATTACAGTGAGGGATCTGTAAGTGCAGAAGGTGATGTAGATAGGAATTTTGGGTACATAGGAGTTAAATCGAAAATAAAATTATAAAATGCTATTTCAAGGTTTAAGATTGACAAAGACAATGGGCAAACTCGCTGAAAGTGTATGACTATGTGCATGGTGATTAATTGATTCACTTGAGACCCCACATTAGTTTGATGAGCATATCGATATTGGCAAGAAAAATGAATTACCAATCACTGAAGAGCGATTTCGATTATTTGACAAGTCATCTAAAGGTGTTGACTCAGTTACCTTAATAACAATTAATGTGATTCAAAATAATTTTTTTTATTAGGGTATAAAACATATACCATTTAGCCCCATTCAAATCTTTATGACCTTGCGTTTTAGTGGAAAGTGGAGGTTCCCTTCTGGAAAACTATGCTCGAGGATTCACAACTCCCCCATCCTCGTCCTCATTGACTAACCAACCGTCGACATCGTCTCAACAGCGCACTAGCGGCAGTGTTCGCAGTCTTGGAAAGTGTTCTCCACAGCCTCTGACGCCTTCTTCCGTCTCCAGCATGCCAGCGGCCTTCAAAAACTTTATTCCATGGTGGACACCTGGATCGGATGTTGGTGAACGACAACAGCACAATTTTCATCATCCAAACAATGAGTATCTCAATTCACTGGTCACTGATGAACTACGTACTCAACTTACCGTGAATACCAATCCTGAAGATTCGCATCAACGGCTTTTTAAAGGTAATAAGCTCAAATAGCGTCAATCCCAACAAAGCTACTTTTATGCTCTAACTGAGGTAGGCTTATGAATATACGCTTTAAATCAGAGAAACGGGAATTGGGGTGGACAATTGTGAGTTCATTGGGCGATCACCTGTGTGAAAGTGGGTAAACAAGGTACGCTTAAAGAGCTACCTGCTGTTACCTCCTTTAGGCGAGTTAGGTCAATGTAGGAGTGTCACCACTATCTACCGGTTTTTTTTCCGACAGTTCGCCCATCCAAATAAATGTCCATTTCATGAAATGGAATTTTCCGTTTAACCGCCCTGGGCGGATTTTTCGAAAACCACGATAATCTATAAATGCTTTCAACTAAACACAAACGTATTGGAATCGGTTTCGGTAAAGGAGCTGAAGTCCTTGAAAATCAATGTCCACTGCAATTTTCTCCAAAGCACTATTCTGCAATCAACTTTACCTTCTCCGGTTTCCCGAAGCCAAGGCGATGGTCTAATCACTTCTTTTGAATTTGAAAACTATTTATTCAACATTTCTTATTCTCTCTCTCTCTCTCCCTCTCTCTCTAGATCAGATAGGTTAAGACTCTTGCTTTGAGTGAGCTTGTTTGTTGCCTAGTCTTATCGCGCTCTTTGTAAATTATATAACAACTTGATCAGAAGTTCGCCCTAATCTACTCTGGTTTTCCCCGTTGTCGTAACATTTAGCAGATTTTTACATCGATTTTTTGTCACTATGAGCGTCCGGCCAATGGCTAACAACCGAGTACCATAGTTCGCAAATCAGAATGTCAACCATTGTAAATCGACAATATGGTGTTTTACAACAGCAATTGAAATTCGAGGCAGTGAAGAAATGGAACATGGGCCAAGTAATAGGGGTGAGAATGGCAAAAACCAATAGCAGAGTGTGGAGAACGAATACTTGCACCTTGGGTCTTGTGATAACATTGATGAAATAAGTGAATAATCGTAGAGCAGATACAAGTAAAAATCGGCAATCAATTTTCTGTAGCTGTTTTTTGCCTCTTGAGGTGATGATTGTTTATTTATTTATTTATTTCAAATGGCATGCGTTTTGATAGTTATCATTAGCCCTTTAGCTGACTTCGGGCTTCACAGAGGGAAGGAACGTCAAAGTAACAGAAAGTCGATGGGTGGGGAACAGAAGAGTGGTTTACAGTTGTAAAAGAGACAGACACAGAGGCAGAGAAAAGGTAAGATGAGTACTGTTGAATTTGTAGAATATGGCATACAGTGGGGTGATGGTAGCTTGAAATGAGAAGTCAACTGCCGGTTAATAGACTTTTTGCCGTATGAGTATACGTTGCCCAGGGTGCACCACGAGGAGGTAAGTCTATCGTACACCCCGGTGATGATTGTAATATGTAGTGATTGCAATAGATTTTAAAATAAACACAAATATTGTTTTAGTTGGCTTGAAGTTCGAAAAATACTCTAGGCAAGCGTTGGGAGACTACTCATCTCCTTCTGGTAGCTGAATTAACTCGTATTTTCCTTCATACTTTTAGATCTAGCCCAGTCGCCCTTGAGTTGTCTTCTGCGCCAAATGCAAATCTCGAGTCAATTGCACTCAGGAGCTCAGAGTTCTGGGGGAACTAAACGTGGATCGTGGCTTTTTGATGATGACCCATTGGGTGGAGTGACGACAATGTCACCCTTGACCAGTCCCCGAGGTGTCTCTACACTGTCTGCTGGCCCAAGCACCCTCTCCTCCTCGTCTATTCCTGCTGCTGCTACTGCTGCTTCTGTCTCGGGCTGCTCAGTGTCCGCACCCGTCTGCATTCCAAGTAATGGCGGTGGAAATCGTGCTGACAGAGAGGCATTCGATTATCCGTGCAGGTGACTTATACAGCTTATTGTACTCTCTCTCTCTCTCTGTATGTATAAGTCTCTATTAGGCTAATTATAGCTGCTTGTCGTATGATGGACTATAAGTCACAATGAGATGGTTCTAGGTACTACTTTCTAATTAGATTTTGTAAAACTTTAGGCGTTGCTTGTGTATTTACAATCTCTCTCTCTCTTTAGTAGAATATTATTTGCATAAAAGCAACTTACAGTTTCAAATGTCCTTGAGGTGGAATTTTATGGTTATGGGGATGAGCAAACAAAAGAAGCAATTTTGGCTTGGTTAAGGTTCTGCGTATTCTTTCCTTATCCATTTCCCATTGGCATATGGTGGTACACGGAGTCAATGTCTTTTCATTAGTATTTGAATGTGGAATTTCCTGAAGGAATCTTCTTCATATTTACTTTGTACATCATTACTTTTAGAGACCGCAGTTCTGAAAGTGGCCTTCTTTTTTTATTCAAAACTTTTACTCTGAACTAAGGTAATGAAATAGTAGCATACAACATTTTCAATCCCAGAGGTGGGAGAATTTTTCTCCTCTCCCCGACAGCTAATTAATTTCGAACCTTGGTCGCGTGATTTGCATGAATAATCATGAGATTCACTGTTTCGCAGCTTTTTTTAAGGGCGTAACACAGCTTTCCTTGTTAACAAATTATGTCTTATACATCAGACTACGGTAATAACCGTCTTTTTCTCTCATTTTCTAGCTGCGAATGCTGTCGTCGTGGGGGGCAAGTTGGTGGTGGAACCGAGAGCAGAGTTGGAGGTCACGACTCGGCATTCAATAGTGGAAGCACGTCAGCCGCAGTTTGTGAATTCGGAGCTGTGGGAAGCGTTTCGTTGCACTCGATAACTTCTGAAGGACATGACAGTGCTCTTGCACTCTCTGAGGCCAAGGAAGAACCGACCACACCTGATTTGCCGTCTTTACTTCAGGATAAGTCTGGAGGATTCGGATCTCTGGTGAGCATGCTCTCTTCGTCATTGTAATCTACTTGAACCAAAGGCCACGTCGAAGATATGGTCTTTGTTAAGGTGTATTAGCTTTCAATATACATCACGTGGAAGGGCGGCAAACAATCGGGGGGGGGGGCTTTCAGTCTTGAATCCAGCTTTTCTACAAGTCTCCGTTGCAGTTGGATCCTCATTCTCCTCCGAAAAATGCGCTTCCTGCAATTTTTTGAGAGTGGTTACAGTTGCTATTTAGTTGCCAAGTGGATGTTGCCTTTCATTCATATTTTATTAATATCGTCTCTCACGCATCAATTCCGTGTTTATCTGGTGACAGTCAATAGTTTACATTTTGTAATGATTTGCTCTCTTTTCATTTGTTGAATTGAAAGGCTAGCTATTCTTTCCTCTATTAGCCAAGATTACGGGAGTATGTCAGCTAATCTACTTTACTTCATTTTTTTAATAATTATAATTATTAATGAGATTAACCATCCTCCGTTGAGATTTCCTTGAATTAAGCAGTGATTCAGCAAGTAGTATTCAATTTATCGAGCTTCAATAATTCTTGATGGTGGTTTAAAAGGTGTACATATGCAAGTGTCCGCTTTGTCTCCCTTCAACTATCTTTTTTTAATTCTTTACTCTTCCAAGTGTGCATTTCTGGATCACTTCCGTGTAAATAGCATGATAGGCATTTATTTGTCGAAGAATTTGATTTTTGTATGAGAATCTGTTGCTTAGACACTGCATCTCAACAGGAGTGCATTTTTTGCTCAACTTACATAAAAATTTTTAAATTGCCCAGAATTTGCATAATCTAAAATTTTGTTATTAAAATCTATTATTCGTGCACTAACTCGGGTTCTCCTAATGTTAAACCTGTTTCGATGAGGCAATAACTGATTGGTATGTCAAGATTGGGCCAGCTCAAGGTTGTAAGTCGGTTTTTTTCTCTTTTCACTGACGTCACGTACGCATTCGTTTTCCCATTGGTTCGTTTTGTCTGTGTCCGTGTAAGAGTAGGCATTTCTGTTGCCCTCCTTCTATGCTCCAGTTATTCAATTAATGAATGAATTTATAATTCTCCCCACCATTTCTAAATCCTCTCCTTTCTATGAAATCAGCACATTCAAATTGTAAGTTGTATTTACTTCCATGTCTCTCAATTTCATTGAATTAGGGCATGTTGGCTTCTGTGAGCAGGCAGTGAAAAGAATTAAGTCCACCTCCGCCCCCATCACGGTTCCCCTTTTTCTTAAGCACAAAAGGCAGCGATGTGATCCATTATACTAAACCAACCACCACCTCTCTCTTTATACTGCTAGGCCATTTGTTTCCTATTCGTCGCCGTGGGGTTGCTGTGACAACATTGCCAGCAATACGTCCTCCCAGCTCGCTCTCTCCCACCTTTGGTCACACGTTGCCTGTCGAAGATTTCCATTTAAGTCAGATATGTCTGTTCTATCGAGTCCTCGTTTTTAGCACACTTTTTTCCCAACTGATATAATGGGCCAATTGTGAATCGTTTTCTGATAGTCTCCGAATACTCCCACTTTGGAAATCAAAGTAACTGCAGAAACTCGACCATTGAAAAGGGTCTATCACCAGTGTAATTTTTGTTCAATCTTCATCATTAGACTCCCGGACTCATAAAGGCTATTATATCGGAGATTTTCAAAACCAATATTTAGGTCCGTGGGTGGTCATGACGCAGATGAGTTTCCCATCCATTTATTTGGTCAATCACTTTAGCTCCTGAATTTCGAGCCGTAATGTGCTCCACTTATGAGTCAGCCAGAGTTGGCAATTGCAAACGATTGCACCTTTTTTAAACGCTGCTTTTAACAAAAATCTGATGACCTTGAAATCAGCTGATTGGGTAAGCTCGGTGGCAGTGTTCTCCGTCGAGTTAGAGCGTACATTTTCTAAAGGTTATTTATTCAATTTTACCTTTTCCATGAAGGCTATGAGCCCCCATGGCTACGTTTTATTTGTTGTACCTTAAATAATTAATATAGATTCTTTTTTTTTCTAAATTTCTCTCTCTCCCTCTGTGTCTCTTGTAAATTTGTTGCGATGACGCAAAATATGAGGCTAGACTGATAAGATTCTGGAACAAACTCTTTGAAGCTCGCTCATCATTTCATAAAATTTCGTTAACATTGCGTTAATCGCGCGAGTCACGTGATGATTTAAAAATTTCTTGTTTTTTGCCCCCACTAGATTTGTTCCATTTTAAATGCCTAATTTCTTGTGTATTTCGTATATTCCTTTCGTATGTTGCCCAATTTCAAAGCTCGTTTAAATCGATCAAACCTAGACACTCCAATCTTACATATTTATATTTGGAATAGCTTTAAAAAATCGATACGTAGGTAGCATTTAGTTAATTATGTGGTAATAAACAAGTAGAATAATGGCCTCTATTTATTCCACTACGGTATGATTAATAGCTGTAATAAGAGACATGTCTGCCAGACAATTTCCGAGATCGGGGTTGGCTAATTTACGTCGAAATGGACCCAAATTATGTTGCAAAATATAGGTTTCAGGTAGTCTAATAGGAGCGTAGAATAAATAAATTAAATCTATGCATGGAATTTTTCATAAATATCTGCTAATGGAGTTCGGGAACTAATATTTCGACTACTTTAAATGAAATCCTTAGTCAATCACTAGATTAGTCAATGAGTCATATTTGATATTTCTATTAATAAAGTCCGTAGTAAAGTGCGGCGTCAATTGTGTTATAGGTCGTTATTTTTTCTACTCGCGGATCATTGTTACTTATCATTTTAGTAGGCGTTTTGATAGTTATCATTAGCTCTTTAGTTGACTTCGGTTTGATAGTTATCATTAGCCCTTTAGCTGACTTCGGGCTTCACTATAGTTATCATTAGCTCTTTAGTTGACTTCAGGCTTCACATCAAAGTGAAAAAAAGTCGAGAGGGGGGGGGTGTACAGAAGTATTTCAAAGACAAAGGTAGAAAAAGGTGAGGTGAGTACTGTGGAAGTAGTCGAATATGGCATACAATGGGGCCATGGTAGTTTGAAGTCAGAAGTCAACTGCCAGGTAATAGACTTTTTTGCCGTATGAGTATACGTTGCCCAGGGTGCACCACGTGGAGGTAAGTCCATCGCCTACCCCATTTTAAGGATAAATAAATGTTACATATTCAAAAATGGACAGGTGTTCGAACATTGGAAAGTAGAACAGTTCATATCAGTGGGGATTGGCAAAATTTACTGGAATCGGAGTATGTTGATCAAACCAAGTATCCGAGTTCTGAATTCATCAAGTTGTTTATGTCAGCAATTTTCACCCGATTTAATGGTCAGTCCGCCTTTATGGAACTGTGAAACAACTTCGTAATTTTAGCATAGCAAATCTCACTAAATTTCGATTAGTGCTGGAGGAGTTCTAAAGTGCTTTTTTCAATGCTTTGGAGCTTTATTGGCACAGTTCCATCTCATTAAATGAATGATGATTATTTTGCCTGAGAAATTTTGAGCTTAGTGTCCCATGGATGTCCTGTTTCGTTGGTATTCAAGAGGAAGATGAGAATTTGCGGTTCGTGCTACTTTTACAAATGGAATAATGTAGAAGTGCGTATTGTTTCCCATGAGTCATGTCGTCTTTGAAAATTAACCACTAATGAGTCGCTATTTATAACTATTTATCAACAACTTTATCTCTGCAAGTTTTACATGCAAGTCTCTCGCCTTTACCTTATCGATAATATCAAATATCGATTTTACGGATATTCCTTATGAGTGGAAGAATCTTGTCACACAGTTACCATAATTAAATGCGTCCGTTCTTGCCTTTCAGCTCCTGGCTAATGTCTACCAATCACAAGGCCTTCTTCAAGGGTCCAATGAAGCGTCGAAAACAACGACTTCAGCCGGTGGAACTACATCAGGAGCTATTAGCGATATTGATAAGTCTGGTGCTTTCTCACTCTCCACCACCCAATCACCCATTCTCCATTCCTCGCCCTTCAGTAGTAATCCTCCTTCTGATTTACAACGCATGGCCATGCTTCAGGAACTTGAAGAGACGAGATCCAAGCTGGATGCTGTACGTCGCCTCTCCTTTGTTATAGGAAGCGTGTTCTTCTAGTGTTTATTGCAAAATACTTTATAGAAAATGCAAGAGAACGAAAGTGTCGAAAGCACTATAAGTGTGATGAATGGAAGGTCATCCTAAGGGCACTAAAGTTCGCGAACAACTACTTTTGTCTAAAGCAATATAGTTGAGTATATCTCATGTTCTATCTTTCCGTTGGGTATTCTTCTTTAATGTTATAAGGTTATAAACTTTTTCTACTTCCAATATCACATACTTTTAAGAAGTCGATTTGGAAACCGATTGAAGCAAACTATCTTTATTGTTCATGCAGCATTGGAATAGACAAGGTTGATTGAGCCATCATACGGAACTGAAATAGCATACAAAGTATACTATATTACCAGTATACGATGTTGAGCTGTTCGCGTGGAAGTTGTCATTCTCTGTTTACTGGCCAAATGTGTCTTTCCACTGAAGAATGAACTAATCAGCCGCCTCAATTAATGGATAAAATTGGTGTGATCATACCATGCTATGGAAACATGTGCAGCGATGTGATCTTGGGGCTCACTCGTTGGTGTTCATTGATCTCCCACCTTTATTTTGTTCTTTGTATAATTCATCTCTCTGTGATTTTCCCTCTTAATTCAGCACTTGCCCCTCTTCTTAGTCACAAGTTCAGTTTACTGGGTGACAATCGTCGTCTTCTTCCTGTCTGTTGGTTGGTTGGTTGGGAACTTAGTGAATCCGAGGGTAATGGCTCACTTCTACTCTCCTACAATCCACTTTTTTCTCCTTTTTCATTGTTTAATTAAAATAAGTCGATTTACCAGTAAACTCTGCTGGTGATTTATGTGGCCAATTCCAAACTCCATTTTCTGTTTCCCTTCAAAAGAGTGTCGGAATGCGCGCCTAATTAATGACTGTCCTTGGTGCTGGCTCGCTATTCAAGGTCATTCCTAGGTCTTTAGGCTGTCACAAGTCAGCTGCACTTTTTTGCAGATGTGGATATCTCGGAGAGAGAAAAAAAGTAGAACTAGACTGCGAAGGTCGAACGTATACAATTTTCTTGTGTCTCATTAATTGGAAATTTCCTCTGGGTTATTTTTAAATTGCACTTTTATTTATTAAAAAAAAGAAGTAGTAGTGGGAATGGCGACGTTCTTTGTTATTTGCTTTTGAAGAACTCTTTTTCCCCCTGATTTCGGCGAAGGCCTTTTTTCACAAGTTTTTTTTCAATTCGCAATAAGTTATCAAATTGTGATGAGCAAAGTTTTCTAACTTATGCAAAAGTTTGAATGCTTTATTAGTTGTAGATGATGTTGCTTGGCGCTTGTTTGATTCGGTTTTTCTTAGAGTCTCTCTCCTTTGGAGATATCAGTCAGTATTCGGTCTTGACAGTTCATCGAATACCTTACCTTCCTTGAATGCCAGTTCTTGGTAGTCGTTATTTTGTTGTAAACATGTTCTTCCCTAATAATCCATCGATAACTTTGTACCCAAACAAGAACTTTTTTTAATTTTTCTCGAGTGACAACTTGATACGTCACGTCAGGAAAGATTCATGGGGAATTGTTCTGTACCCCCTCCCCCTCCTCCCATTTGTTAGTTCCTCAAACTTTGTGTATACCTTCAAAACCTAACTTTTTCTGGGAAGTGGGTAAGTGATCCTGGGAGTTTGGAATCTTCATCTGTTCTATGCTCAAATCAAAGAACGAGCAGAGTTGTTTCCATGATATTTCGTCTGGCATTTCTAGAACTTGCATCATTCTTGTTTTCTATTCTTTTATTTATAGTCCCTTCAAGACTTGGAAGCTCTTCGATGTGAATATGCAGATCAAGCTCAACAGACTCTAGCTCTTCAAATTGTGGTTCGTCAGGTTGTTATGATTCTCTTCAACCATCTCACTGAGGTTCGACGAATGCAAGAGAAGGCTCCGCAAACCCCACCATCTACAAGTAGTCCATCTTCTACATCTACCACTGCTGCTTCAAGCATTCGTGACGGCGCGAGTTTGAATCTCCTGAATGACCTTCTGAAGGTGCTCTTGTGTGATCCAATAGTGAGAAATGCGTTGAATAATGAAAACGCTAACGTACCGGTTAATACTACTCAAATGCCTACAAGTACCACTGGAACAAGACTCAAACGACCCTCATCACTTAGAAGGAAATCATCGTCAAATGTAACCCCATTGTTAACTATTTCTTTGAATTATTAGTCCTGTATTTATTTGTCTATCGCACTTTGTGACCTCACCGGCGTCATCAAATATTTGGTATCCAGTATGTGATTAGCACTTGTAGCAGAAGTCAGGAAGTATGAAGGACTTTATACGTACAACGTGACATCACTTAGGAATGACTAGACAGGACGTCAATAACACTGTCAGATCGGATAAAATTGCATTGTAGAAGCCTCGAGGCAAACACGAATGGTGGCAACGAGTTCCACTTCTTGCACTTTTTTGGGACTCATTTGACTGTTGTCTGACTATAAAAGTCGATCTTGCTGATGAATGATCTTGCCTACGACAGTTCAACTTAGCCAAGCTCAGTGTTAAATGTTCTTTCTCGGTGGTCACAATTTTGACGGAGAAGTTTACGATGACTTTGTATATGCATATTATCTCATATCTAATCTAATGGTAACGCCGAAGAATGTGTGCATATGATAAACCAAATAGTATTTAATGTGTAGAAAGAGGAGACAGGAGACACTTCAAGGAAAATAATTGAGTAGATAAGCAATGTAACCAAGCGTGACAACCCTTCTGCGATTGGAACGGAGATCAATAAGTGTCAGGTCTGAGCGAGTGGAGCCCATTAAGAGGATAATTAGGATATCTTTTAAAGATAGTTGTTTGGTTTTGCGTTCATTGTTGGTCAGACGCATAGTTATGAGTCAACGTGCCTATTCGGTAAAATACTACAATTAGCAAATAAGTAAAATCGCACCAATCATCACCTTTGCACAATCGCGTATAACTTAAGTCTCTTTAAGGTTAGTCGAAAGGCAAACGTTATGTTAAATTTTATTGATACTGGCGATTGAAGGAAGATCAGCTGGTCAACCACGGTCGCTTGATATGCCACTATTTATTTATCTCAAATGGCAGGCGTTTTGATAGTTATCATTAGCCCTTTAGCTGACTTCTGACTTCACAGAGGGGAGGAGGAACTTCAAAGTGGCAAAATGCCGAGAGTGGGGATCGAATAATGATTCATAGATGTAAAAGAGACAGACAGACAGACACAAAGGCAGAGAAAAGGTAAGATGAGTACCGTTGAAGTGGTTGAATTTGACATACAGTGGGATCATGGTAGTTAGAAGTGAGAAGTCAACTGCCTGTTTATTGACATTTTAGCCGTATGAGTATAGGCTGCCCAGGTTGCACCACGTGGAGATAAGTCTATTGCATACACCTAGTGTTTCACTATAGGTGACGAGAATTG